AGAGTTGAGGTTTGATAATTCTGGTGATTGAGTATTTAAAACTGAGTAAGCAGTTCTGGATAAGAGTAAGGTGTGACCTCCGTATTTTAGGGAAAGCTTGCATTTGTTTACGCACAATATTTACGGTGAGGTGAAGCGGTGAATTCATTAGTAAAGAAACCTAAGAAGGCTCTGCTGGTTTGAAAAATTAAACATTAATGCATTATCTGTTAGGTGTTTGTTGTATATAAACTAAAGAATATAATGTACATAGACTTAAGGTTATCTCATTATTAACGACTAGTCACTAGTGTTTTCATTGTTAAGTTATCGAACTACTGAAGAAACCTATCGACTATCGACTGCATAAATCCTATCGACTATCGACTGGCATGCGGTTGTTCAACGACCAGATGACCTTGAGATAAATTTTACAACGACTCTTGTGCCACACTATGAGAATGAGACCTGGTCAGAAGCTAGAAAAATTTACTCAGACCAGACTCCAAAGCTTCGAAAAATTAACCATAGATTCAATTCAAGACAATTCATTCTCATTCATAGTTCTAATAAATTAGCATTCTGCTTTAAAAATTTAGTTCAAATTAAATTCATTAATTGAATGCATAGCTCCAAATTTAAATCAAAAGCTTCAAATTAATTGAAAGCATTGCTTCAAAAATTAAGTCTCAACTCTCAATTTTTCACCTTGGTTAGCAGATATTTTCAACACCTTGTTAGCCTTGTTTGTTATACCTGAATCTGATTATCTGAAGTCGTCAGATTCCACCCTGATTAAAGATCGTTTTATATTATAGGTAGGAGCTTGTTTCAGTTGGATGTAATATATCTCTAAACATTAATTATTACTTACCAACTAAAACTTCCAAGTCAACAAATGCTTTGTCAAATTCTTTTTCTAGAATATCAAGCCATCGAAAACCAACAGTAACAGCGGCCATAATGCATGTGTGTATTTGCGAAAAAATTCCAACACAATATGGCTGGCACTGGCAGCCGAGCTGAATTTCAAAACAAAGGCAACGTAATTCTTGAGAAGTTGCGAGTTAGTAATATTAAAGTTTCATCAACTCAGCTGAAGCGGCTTTTTATATTTTAAATCATGCATATAAATCTACTACACAACTAGCACAAGCACGAACTCCTTTCGGATAACACCAAATTCAACTGCCGACGTAGCATGTGTGCTTCAACGATATTGACTTCCAGTCGTTTAATGATGCATGTGGTTCCGTCTTGTTAAACCCAAGCCAAAATGCTCATATAGAATATTTTTTTTCTTTTTACATAACATTTAATGAGATTTCTGCGGTAAATAAACTGCCATAAATGCATTACATAAAATTTTGAAGCAGGAATATCAATAAAAATTTGATACAAACTTCATTATAAATAATTCAGCTCCGTAACGTCACAATCTATTAGACAAGTATTATCTAAATTTTAGTTAGTGTAGAAATTTGATTACCTTATAGCGGTATAGATGATTTGCTAGTATCAATGGAGGAAAGCTCGGAAGAGCAAGAATCCCCCATTCCGACATGTTTGCGGGCATTTCTGATAAATAATAATAATAGCGGTTTCAGCGTTTATTAGAGGTCTCGGACAAATTTACGGCCAGACCCGTGGCCGGTCTCGCGGCCGAAAGGTTTTCTTAGTGATTTTATTGTTTTTTTCTAGATTTTTTGTGTTTTTAATGGAACCTGTTCCTAACTGGACCTAACCTGCGAGGTTTTCGTTGATTAGCTAGGTTTTTTCTATGTTTTTAGTCCGGCGGCCGCGAGACCGGCCGCAGGTCCGGCCGTAAATTTGTCCGAGACGTGTTTATTAGGCCGTAGGCCTGTCGCCGATTCTTAACCTCGCAGAACATTTACAGCATTTTAGGTCTCGAACTCGCAACTCACTGCTACAATTCTGCTGTGTTTAACCGCCCGGCCTCCTTGCCGATTCTGACAAGAAACTGGCGCACAGAGCTGGGATCGAACCCGCGCCTCTCTGCTCCAATCCTGGTACTCTGAACTTTAACCACTGGGCCACCCTGCCTGCCCAGGGGATGCCCTGGACAGCGCCCAGGGCATCCCCTAGCGCCAAGCCTTGCCTTGCACGTTATTTTCATTCACCGAAACCATGCCATGAAAGTTGCAAATGTTGTACCTTCCAAAATATAAGCTAATAAAGCCATTAAATAATAACACTGACCCATAGCTTATGTCACGTTTTTGGTCAATAATTTATATTATATATGGTCTCCGGTGACTGCACTCAACCTGACCACGTGATTAAAAAAAGTAGACACACCTGCTACCAAGTCCTCAGACTCTCTTGACCAATCTTTAATCAACGTTATGAAAGCATTACGCCCACCAACAGTCACGAAATCTTGGGAGATTGCTGGCCCTGAAGTAAATCATAGCTCGGTCAAGGCCACAATTATTCATGAAACGACACGCGAGAAGAAATTTTTGCCCCCCGCTCGAATTGGCCTGATGATTCCATAATGCAGGATAGTCAGAGGTGGGCAGTAGCCCCGCTATATGTAGCGACCGCTACATATTTGAGTAGCGATACGAGGTTTTGCCGCTACAGCGCTACCGATACATTAATAGATAAAGCCTTTAGATTTTATTTAATAGTATTAAATATTATTTAAAAACCAGCATGATACATACAGAATATAAATTACAGAATAAAGCTGTACGAAAGATTTCGGTGTTATGTTGTCTACCTCAGCCTGTTACTAGTGTCAACATGTTAGTTGTTACCAGAGGTGGGCAGTAGCGCGCTACGTCTAGCATCAAACCATGCATGTAGCGGCCGCTACATTTTTAGTAGCGGTAGCGGAGCTATATTTAAGTAATTGCAGCGGTAGCTGGAGCGCCCGCTACATTTGGAGCATGTAGCGGTAGCGGCCGCTACATTTCAAAGTAGCGCTGCCCAGCTCTGAGCATAGTATTGTGGTTTCCATTCCAAGGTACTTCCAGCTGTGAATGATCCTACCTACTGCATCCATACAACACTAATCAAGTTCGAGGCGCCTTGTGATCACCGCTAGGATGTCGGTAGTTCGATAATTATTCTAGAAGTCAGTAAAGGAACGACTCGGTAAATTTATTCGCTTTAATGGTCAAGTGATCTCTAACGCTTCCACTCTAGAACAATTTGATGCAGCATTTCTTACTATCAAAGGGTTTAAATGAACTCAAAGCTAGCTAATACGTTGGCAGCTTCACGTTAAACCAAAATGCATTTCAGCACTCAAAAACAAATACATTGTTATCTTAATAATTAATAAACTTGACAATTTTATTGTTGAGGAAATTAAAGTAAAACTTGGCAGGTAATTAGATTTCGTATTTATTAATGACATACTTACAACCAACAACTTTCAACACAAGGGATTCAATGGATATATTACACGCATGATCTGGACAATTCAGCAACTTTTTCAAAGACCTTAATATTTCTTCGACTGTACGAGATAGGATGTACTGAGAAAAACAATTGTTAACTAGTGTGTGACAATCTTTATGCCCAATGAAAGTAAAAATACAAATTATATGAAACTTCAGTTTCGAAGTATCAGTCTAATTCTGACATGCAATGTCTCAACAATTCAGATAAGGAGAAATCTTCATCACAAAGGGCGCTGTACTGCGGCATGACTGGCCAACGTTGACGACCTTACTTTACTGCGCAGCAGCACCTGGGACATAGAATGCAATTCAGTCAATAGCGATGAGAAGAATAATTGAGTCAAACCTCTTGAGTAAATTCAAGTTAACATTAGGCAATGTAAACAAAATATCGCTAAGAATGAACGCATTTATCTATGAGCACAGTAAATAAAATACACAAAAACTTCTTTGTAACGGTTAGAAAATTTGCCAGACCTACATGTAGTATTCTTTAAATTGGTGAACTCTTCAGCATAAATACTGACATTTAATAAAATTATCGACTTGCCAGCAAATCTAGCCTTGCACTGGCACTGCCGCAGTGCTTCATTGACTCACCAGCAAATCCCTGCACTGTCGCAGTGCTTCATTGACTCACCAGAAAATCTAGCCTTGCACTGTACAGTGCTTCATTGACTCACCAGCAAATCCAGCCTTGCACTGTCGCAGCGCTTCATTGACTCACCAGCAAATCTAGCCTTGCACTGTCGCAGAGCTTTATTGACTCACCAGAAAATCTAGCCTTGCACTGTCACAGTGCTTCATTAACTCATCAACAAATCTAGCCTTGCACTGTCGCAGTGCTTCATTGACTCACCACCAAATCTAGCCTTGCACTGTCGCAGAGCTTTATTGACTCACCAGAAAATCTAGCCTTGCACTGTCACAGTGCTTCATTAACTCATCAACAAATCTAGCCTTGCACTGTCGCAGTGCTTCATTGACTCACCACCAAATCTAGCCTTGCACTGTCACAGTGCTTCATTAACTCATCAGCAAATCTAGCCTTGCACCTGTCGCAACTCGCAGTGCTCCATTGACTCACCTCATCAACAAATCTAGCCTTGCACTGTCGCAGTGCTTCATTGACTCACCACCAAATCTAGCCTTGCACTGTCACAGTGCTTCATTAACTCATCAGCAAATCTAGCCTTGCACTGTCGCAACTCGCAGTGCTCCATTGACTCACCTGCAAATCTAGCCTTGCACTGTCGCAGTGCTTCATTAACTCACCACCAAATCTAGCCTTGCACTGTCGCAGTGCTTCATTAACTCATCATTGACTCACCTGCAAATCTAGCCTTGCACTGTCACAGTGCTTCATTGACTCACCAGCAAATCTAGCCTTGCACTGTCGCAGTGCTTCATTGACTCACCAGCAAATCTAGCCTTGCACTGTCGCAGTGCTTCATTGAATCCCTCGCAGAGGCTCACGTCAGACTGTGACTGTGCACATTGCAGGAATTGCTTCACCTCCCACGCGCAGGGGCCGTCGAATTCGCTCTGCTGCGGTGCCTAATGTAAAGTTGCAGCTCTTTTATTAAGCCTTATATAGTAGCAACAAATGTTTCTCAAGTTACAATAATAATCATAAATGGATATTTGCAAAACTATATCAATTCGTTAGAAGATGCAAAGAAAATACATTGCTGTGAAGGTAATGAAATGGTTGAAAACATGTATCCAATTATTTCATCATTGGTTCAAACTTCCAAGCTGAATTAGTAAAATGATAACAATAGTTTAAATTCTGTATTTTGGAGATAAAGGTAATTGTTCAATAATCAACAAAAAAAATTTTATTGTGTATTCAAAACAAAAATTGTTTGGTCCTTAGTCATTTGCCATACAGATCTTGTGTTATTGATTTGAGGGCAACAAAGATATACCTAGGTTAACTGCAAACTTTGTCAAATATTCATAGGCAACAGAAGATTGCAAACGTGACCACCACAATGTTAAAGGCATCTTAGTTATTATCAAGTGCTAGATCCTCACCTGTTGGTATTGCTGAGGGTAGTGTTGTGGGTATCCTGACTGCTGTGGCTGCTGCTGAGGCGCAGCCTGCTGTGAATCAGAGCTGCCACCTCCACTGGTCAATGCATGACCAATAACATGTCCCTGCATACAAAGCAATGTTGGGTAAAAAAGCAAGTAAAATCCATGTTGAAATCTTTAGGGATTCATGACAACAAATTTCAAGCTATGGAACAGACAATAAAACATATCAATCAACTCCTTCTCAGGCAGAATTTTGAGAAGTGATGAAACAAATGTTTGCAGTATCATACACGAACAAAGCTAACATATATATAGGTACTAAACCTATAGGTACTGTATAGAATAAGAAACTGATTCTCAAACTGATAAGCAAGAGCTTTGTGTCCAGCTCAAATTTAAAATTAAGAATTATATTGCAATATAAGCAACCATTCTAGCCATGGCATATAAATTTTTAATATCTATACATGTTATGTGAATCAGAGAATGAAAGAAAAAAAAATTGGGAAGTGTAATAAAATTGAACCCTTTAAGTCATTTCCATAAATTAAATGAATCATTGAAAACATAATAACCCAACCAGTGATAATTCATGGAAAAGGATTTTAACTTTTACAAACACAGGACATAAAAATTAAGAAATCCAGACATGGTTTCATGGAGCCTGAACTCAACACTTTAGTAAGAAATATTCAACAGAATTACATTAATTGGTCAAACAGCCAATATTATGAGATATATATTTAAATATTCATATACATATATTTATTTATCTGCCTTCAGTCCAGGTAAGTAAAGCAGCTTTTCTAATTAGTCTTTCAAAAAACTGACCACAGCCGAGCCAACGGCTACTCCACCAGCAGTGGCTGCCATTTGTGCCATAAGACCAGGTCCCTGAGCAGGTGCAGCAGCTGCTGGTGGAGGAGGAGCTGCTGCAGGTGGAGGGGGACGAGCTGGTGGAGGTGCTGGAGCAGGTGCTCTCCTTCTGAACATCACATAATAAAATGAATAATTATTCAAATAAGTAAAGGTAATCATTCTAATTTTGGATCCAAAAATTCATAAAATCTTATCTTAACTTCAGTTTCACAGCATTTTCGTCGTATAAGGATCAAAGGAATTAGAATAATTCATTCAAATAATTCACTTTCATTATCTGTTGCAAAAAAAAAAAATAAAATAAACAGAAAAATTTGTAACTTTCAGAGATGAAAATTTAAGCAATTGAGAAAAGAAAGCCTGAAATGAGTAATTTGTTACCCTGAACAATAATATACATATTTAAATGAAAATGAAGTGCTTCCACTTAAAATCTAACTAAATATGTGTAGTACTATATACCATTGCCAGATTTTGCCAATATATAGGTAAATTATAGAGTTCATTCCAACACAAAGCACAAACAATGTTACTGTTGCAATAGTAACTTGAGTTTATTTAAAAAATATGCCATAAATCAATTCATAATTCAACAAAAAGCATATTTAATTTGAACACTCACGGGGGAGGACGAGGAGCAAATCCACCACCACGACGACCCATTGCAACTTTGTTAACAAACAAGTAGACTTGTGCTTATATGAAATATGGCTTATAGGTAATGAGAGAATAAAGTGTTAAATTTCACACTTCACACCTAAATGCAATAATCTAATTCCACAGCACCAGGCCTGGAAACACAAAAAAATAATGAAAAATATTTTATGAGACTGGTTTTTTTTTTCAAATAATAGACAAAGCCAGTTGGTAAATATTATTCACTAAGCCTTCTTAGTGAAGTTCTGAACTTCTGACTGAACTACATCAGACATCAATAGAAACAAATTTCTCATATCAATTATGATTTATGAGTAAAATTGTAGCATTAAATTGAGTAGTCATCTCAAGACTGAAAACACTGTATAATGCACTAAAACTAAGAAAAGCTACTTCATTGTTCTAAAGATGAATAACTAAAACAAACAGGCCAGAGAATTTCAAAAATTTTGACCAGAGATCTTGGAAGCTGGCCACATTCCAGAGTGCTCAGAAGAGAGTGAGTAAATTCAAATATCTCACTCATAGACAATAGTCATTACTTATTGAGTCAATGCCAATAACCTTACCAGCAACATAGCATAAAAGTTGACAGCCTTCAATTTAATTTAACCATTCTATTTTAATAATTTTATAATAAAACACAATTACCATATATATCTACTGTTGAACAGAGTAATAAGGTTCAGTTTTGAGCATTTATTGTCAATAACTTTTCACCATGAAACATTTCATAAATGAGTTTGGACTCATTTTAAAGGTCTTTGCAAAGGCTACCATATGGCATATCTGAAAAAATTACATATGCTATTTGTAGGGTGCCAAATACAAAATGAAAGCTTCTTGAATTACTCCTGGGATTGGGGTAATGAAGGACACTTGAAATTAAACATAATTTTAAATGTCTGAAGCATGCAGAGTGTACTCATCCATTACTAACAGTACTCTGAAGACCTCCTCTTCTTTTGTATATGATGTAGATGTTTAATAAATGACATTTTCTGTGATTTCAACTTGTTTTCTTTCATTGATATGAGTGATATGATATTGATATGATAATGATATTTTATTGTTTTCTTTTATTGATATTAATTTACCTTGTCCATACATCACTGTATTATTGATGTGACATACGGTAACAGTATCCATACACATGCCATCGAGCATGTACTTTTCCACTGCAAGCTTCATATCAGCAGACATATAGCATTTCTTCTGTACCCGTAAGCTTACAGGACGGCTTGTAATTTTGCACCATTTTAATTAAGTCAAGCAAATTTACTAAAATAAAAATAAACATTATTATAAAAACATGCCTGAAACAGAATGGAATATTTTAGTGACAACCATCATATTTTTTGGAGAAATAAATAAGTTTTTTTCATTCTATCTTGCCCAGTGCACAATTCTATGACATTCTATGAACAATTCTGTGATGACCAATGAAGATGATGCACTAATTTTTTTGTTAAGTGAAATTTTTCTTGCTGAACAAGGTAAATTTAATCAAAATTGTTAGTTGTTAATTGATTTTTTTTTTTTTTTTAACTGGAGCCTTTGCTAACCAAGTTTCTAGTTCTACTGTAAACGAGTTTTTACAGGAGACCCTTAATACCTCTGGGGGTATCCCTTTTTACCCCCTCCTGCAGAAACGGCCACCATTCCCTTTGAGAATGAGGAAACATTTTTAAGCCAACACCTGTGTGCTAACTTAATGCGAGTAAAATCTTTTAATACGGCAAACATTTTTTTTTGCTACAGACCTTAGCAGAGGTACTCTTCCAAAATCTCACTTTCCACACTTTTTTCAAATATTTTTAGAGGTAGTACCTAACTAGTAACTAGTAAATGTATGATTTCTGAAATTCCTTTATGCTAAATAGATGGGAAAAATTTTGAAAATTACGACACTATTTTTAGTTTTGAACTAGGGTAAACGCGGTATATTCCAACATCGTGAGTAATTCCGACACCTCTCTAGTTTTTCCTTTATATTAAGCTTTGTCTTAGTTCCACGCATTTGTTGATGGTCGAAATAGTGACGTCATACCTTTGCGCGCCAACCTATTGCCAAAACACTAGGTTTGGGCCGTCTGGCGGGAAAATGTTGAGATCCAAAGAGAGACAGTACATGCCACCCAGTGAGATCATCAAAAAATGTGTCAAAGTTGTCAAAAAATGTGTCAAAGTTGTCAAAAAATGTGTCAAAGTTGATAGTTGACCTTGCTCTACCAAATATTGATAAACTGTTTGTGTAGAAAGAATATTATGGTTTATATGTCTGTGACATATATATATATATATATACCGTATATATATATATATATTGGTGTAGTTTGGCAAAAGCTTCTCTTTTATGCAAGTTTGATTGAAGACCGGAGCATGCTTTTTATTTACAATCTTCTTGTTTGTCTTTTCAATGAGTCGAACCAAATTTCTAGCTGGAGCCGGGAGATCGAAAAGCAGGTTTCCGAATGACATTTTAATAGATTGCGACGTTTCCAAAATACAATTAGATGTGTATAAGAGACAGCACTAGAACGTATCCTTTTTGGGAAGTAGGCTGGTGACAATACTGCTCTGGTTACTCATCTCAGGCCGTAGAGGGTTAAGGCTTCTCAGACTCACTTCCGCGGGTCCGAAAAATGAGCCCCATTCAAAGCAACTTCAGCCTTGATGTTTTTTCGGAACTCTACTGCCCTAGTGGCATGTCCACAGCAACACATAATGCCATGAGGACTGCCTTGCATTGCAAGTCGTTGTGCACAGCTTGGCAGAGTTGCCCGCAGCTAAATTGCCACCGTCATATCGTGACGGCAAGACCAACGTCTCCAACAAACGTAACGGGAATAGTGAAAGAAATAATTATAAACATATGAGTAAGGTAAAGAATGTAGGGGAAAGAATGTCTCACCTTGGCCTTGCGACTCCAAATGGAAGTTTCATGTCACNTTAATATGTCTGTGAATATATTAGGAATCCTTTAAGTATACTTGTATTTGCTGATTTCAAGTGGTAAATAAATTAATAGATGATTAAGTTAAGAAACAGATTTAGACACAAAAACTAATTCGGACACAACTTGAATTGGACACACACAGCTCGTTCCAAGCTTTGTGCAAAAATTAAAATTTTCTTAATTAAAAGCTTAATAGTTGTTAATTAAAAGCCTAATTAATTAGTGTTCAATATTCAATAGTGTTCTAATTCAAAGCCGTGTCGTATTCCAATACAGCTCACACAGCGATCGGAATTTGAACACAATGATGTTGGAATTATGTATTAGTAGAGTTTGAAGCACGGCCGGAATTCGTCTCACAATGTGTCAAATTTAGTCACACACAGCATCAAAATATTAGAGATTTGGAAGGTTTGCATTCTAAAGACTTTTAAATAAATATGGCAACACTTTGTGATGTTTCATCGTTGCTGGCACACATAGTGGCAAACCAGAGCTTTTTTATATTCAGTTCATTTTTAATTTCCTCATTTACTCAAGATTTAAAAAAAAATTCTTAAGTATGATAATGCTGGTATCCATGATATACTTTACTGGTCTACTTATAGGACTCAAAAGTGAACTTGAGGGAGAGTCTAAAAAACTCTCTGCTTTGTCACTACGCAGTGGCACGTAGTGCGGTGTTTTGAGAGTCACGTAAAGCAAACAGAACTCGAGTAACGCATACGGTTATTTTTTTATAGTTTTTCATTTCTCGATGCGTCCTTAATGTGTCGGAAAATACCGCGTTTACCCTATGAATATTTCAATAAATTCAGCTGCTACAACATTTCTACAAAAAATTTCAGACAGTCAGAGGACTGTCCCTTATTAGGTACCCTGTCCATCCCAGGCGTCCCTAAATTCATATTGGCAATTTTGCAAAGCAGAGAGTTTTTTAGACTCTCCCTCAAGTTCATTTGTGAGTCCTATAAGTAGATCATGGTCAGGAAGATGTGCCAGGTGCGCGGGAATTTATTTTGTCATTTTAACGACCTGCGCGGTGCGCCGTACTATGCTGGTAAAAAAATGCGCCGTGCGCCGTACTTTAGAAAGCTAAAATAGTTTAAATATGGACGCGCGGCAACGCGGCTCTAATTAAATAAAGATCATTACTTGTAGTATAATAAACATGAAGTCTCCCTATTAAAAAGTTATATTTCGTTGGTCATCAAAGATCAATGTTTATATCAACTACGCGAGTCAAACTGACAATAATAAATGTAAGACATGTCCCGATGTCTGGGTTACTTCTGACTCATCCGCTTGTCGGATATGGAACCTACGGTAATCGTAAACTGCGGCTATTATACATACGAAATGTAAACAGACGGTGTTCATTGTTGCCATATGACTTTGGAGAAAATTTATTCTAAAATAAAGTTCTAGATTTCTCATTCACCAAATTTCCGTATCAAGAAAAATCATATATTATTGAAAGATAATTAAAGGCATATAGTCAGATGGGGTAAGACAGGACCGAAATCACTAACAAGCCTGTAGCATCAATACCAAGAATAACTAAAAACCCTAAACCTATCACAAGGTGTATATATGCAATGGGCTCCTAAGCTACAACTCAGACGTTTTGCATCTAACATAGTTTTCTGTACAGATTAAAAAAAGTGAGCTGGTCCCATCTTACCCCATTGGGGTAAGATGGGACCAGGCATGGGGTAAGACAGGACCAACTGGTAATTCTTGTGTTACAAGATTTTTAATAAAAGTGCAAACATGATATTCAATATTATCCATCTAGAAACACATTATTTGATTAAACAACCACTTGTTACTGTTTTGTGCTGCAGGAAATCAACTCTAATATCAGTCAGATTGGAGTTTTTGTTACAAGAAAACTTCGTTAAGCATAGTAATAGTAGGTTGGCTTTGATTCATTGTAGAGGACTGCTAAATGCTACATGTATATTCCATTAGTGTCATTGTCTAAAAATTCATCAAATTGGTAATAAAACCAGTGGATAATAACTTGAGAGTCAGACATCATGTGTTTTCTTGCTAACTGCATTTGTGCTGCACTTCTTCAAACATAGCCCGTGCCCTCTCACAAAGTTATGATAATAATTGTTTTTTATGTTTTACACAATGATTTTTCCCCCCAATCACTCTTGCACATAG